ATATGCTTGAATGCAATCAAAATTGTTTTTTTTTTAAATTTAATGATTGATTATTATACACAATTTTATTCTGTACATATCAGCAACAAAAGCATTTTTGATTCTTTCGTCAGTGGGTAAAAGAATTAATTTAATCAATTCATGGACCATGAATTATCAACCATGAATTCATGGACCATGAATTCATGGACCAGAATCAAACGCAAAGGCTTAAATTGAGTTACTTACTATCAGCTTAAAATGACTGTTTTTTTAACTTCTAAGCTAATATGTCCTTTTCCTGACATTCAAAATTTGGTGAATTTCTTTTTTTTTTTTTNTTTTTTTTTTTTTTTTTTTTTTTTTTTTTTTTTTTTTTTTTTGAGCAAATAGCAATAAACTACGCTACTGGCTGTAAGATAATTATAAATGTAACTAAATAAATATACAAGAAAAATTTAATTAGTTTGAAGACTTTAAATTTGAATAAATTTTTTGTTCCGAATTGTCATGCTTCCATTGAATCACCCATTGTACAGTGTCACCTTAAATTTTCATTTGTACAAATTAAACTTAACATTTTTGTTTCCCTAATGATTATGAATAAGGGTTGTCTTTATTATCCTAAATTCGGGACATGAATCAATCGAAAGTTAGTTACGAGATTGGTGCTCAAATTTGATCAAATTTTAGAGCGATTAAACTGAACATCTGAATTTGTATATCATTTCGATTTAATAATATACGAAGTGTGACTCAATTCCTTATGAATTTAATGTACTGATACTTAATCTTATGTAAAATTCTCAGAGTGTAAAATGCCAATTAAAAATTTTTTTTACGTCCACAACAGCGCATTGTTTTCGTTAAATTTATCAATTTTAACATAACAAACATTTTCTTTTTATCCCTATAATTGTTAAGGGATTAGTTTTACCAGAAAAAATAATAATAGTAACATTGAAACAATAATAACGCTTTATTTAATTTTACATTTAAAAAAATTATGTAAGACCTCTGATGTTAGTTTTCAGATCATTTTATTTTTGATCAAATATCAAACAATGTGTGATTCTGAGACATTATCAATTTAAAGAAATAGTAGCAATTGAAGATCAGTAGGGAATAACAGTTTATGACTATGACAGTTGATTCTGAGAAAAAAAACGATAGTTTCAAGGCTTGAGATTCTTCAGAAGCAAGTACATGATGTAAATCGTAGTAATAAAAGTGTAAAAGCATGTAACATGAATTTACTTTTATCCACAAAAAAAAATAATTCGAAACAAAATTTGCATTTTTTGATAATGAAAAAAAAATTGAAAATCGAGTAGGGCAAGAATCGTTTTTTTTCCTCTAAAAATTCCTCCCTAAACTCCGTCACTGGTATTCCTGTTCCCAGTATTCATTATATTCTTTGTTCTTTTTCGCGCATTCCTCTTCTTTTCATCTCCTGAAGTGTATTCTAACTTCGGAGGTTTTCGTAAAATTCTCGTGACTCAGATTTCTCCAAAAATCCTATTCGAAATTGTAAATTTTGATGTTTAGCAGCTTTTATGGGAACAGTAGTATCGTACAGATTTCGTTGTGAGACGATTTTCCTTTGAGATATCAATGAAAATTGCTTATTAAATTTTTTTTTCTCAGTTCTTTACGCCTCCGTGGAGGCTTGACAGATAAAGTAGCTCGTTCTTCTCCGTCTTTTATTTTAAGTAATGAATGTGGTAGATGGTAAGAGCCTGCCATAAATATTCGCATAGAAATATATCTCGGGATCATCTCTTTTCACCTTGAGTATTGACCGAGTAAAAAATGGGCATTTTTTGCGGTGAAACCAGATAAATGTTCATTCCACCTACAAGCGATAACCGCAGGTTTCGAACAGAAACGATTCGTTCTTTGACTCTCAGACGGGAATCATTTTTCCGCTTTTTCCCATATTTCCTGCGTAATAATTCTCGATAGAACCAATTTTTTATGTCACTTATTTGCTAAAATTTAGAAATGCAACAGAGGGCGATGTAATCATCCTTTTGTAAAAAATGGACTTAAACCTTTGCGTGGATAGGAATTATTTTCTTTGCTGAATTCACTGATTTTAATGCACTGACGGTTCTTCGCGTAAGGAGTCATACTTTTACCTGTTTGTCTTCTCTGCCTAGCAAAATCGGGTTTTCCTTGTCATTATATAGGGAAATACTTGTATTAGCGAGAAACATTCTCCCGATTTTGATGATTTGAAACGTTTTCCGTCCATTCCTAGAATTGATTTAAGAATAAATGTTTCCCCCCCCCCCGGAAAAAAAGAAATAATAATCAGTTTGCTCTGTATTCAACTGCAAATAAGTCTAAAGGTTTTTTTCCCTTAAAGATCACTAATTGTCACCCCATTTCTTAAGATATATCTATGCGATTCGAATATTTTAAGACACATATTAGGTAACTATTAAGATAATATTCAGTCTCTACAGTAGAATTTGTAGATTTGTCACAAAACGTTTATTTATTTATTTTTTTTATTTTTCAAAATCGCTTTTTTATCTCAAAATTTACATTATACAGAATTTACAGGTAACCATGTTTTGAAAGCAATATTTTACCTAGCTGAGATTATATTACCAAAATTATTTTTAAACTAAATTAAGGAGTGAAATTCATTTACGGACAAAATGAGGTCTGGGATCATGTGTTTTGAAGAAGTGTTTAAGATTTGAAGAAGTTTTAAAGTACTTACAAAACCAATAGGCTAGTTTAAATATTTATAGCACGTAAATAAGCACGATGTTTTTCATAAACAAGCTAACCGTATTAGTATTGTTTTATGGACTTCTATTTTTATTTATATTATTATTATATTTGAATTTCTCTGAAAATAGTTTATTAATCATTTAATTTTTTTTTATTAACTGTACAAAATTAAAAAAAAAAATATCTATATACTATTTTGTTAACTTCATCTAATAATATGACTTTTATAGGAAATAGAAGGATAATAAGCTTGTTCGATAAATTAGAAATTCAATTCATATATTAGATATGTTATGTTGAAAACATATTGTGTAGCATTCATTTGAATTAAATGAAATTTTGCTCGTAATTAACATTTCAATAGTTTCTTTAAAAATGGAATTTAAACTGGCAATAAATATGCATTTGCATTTGGAAAGACAAAAAACCAATAAATTTTGAAGAGACCTTTATGCAAATGTAAAACAAGTTTCAATTTAAAAAATATATATATTTATATATATTCAATTCATTTCGAGACAAAAAGAATTTTGAAATGTCGGGAATGTTGAATATAATACATCATGACAGTTTAATACGATGAAAGGAAAAATGAAGAAAATAAAACGAATTACTTATTGAGTAATCATCCATGCGAAGCAGGGATGATTGCATTTATATGTTGATTAATTTTTCAAATGCAAATCTCATTTTTAAATGCAAATTCATTTCTGTTATTTCCTTTACAATTAAAATGTAATAATTTGCATTTAATAAATCAACTCTGTAATTTTATGTGCTTAGATAAACATATACGTTAAATATTAAAGCTATTATTGTTTTATGCGAATGAAATATTTGAATACGTCTTTTCAATAAAACATTCATTTTGTTTAATCACATAAAAAAAACAAGAATATAAAAAAAAACAATTCTAATCGGGATTTACTGAGGATTCTGACTTATTTATGAAAAGTAGTTTACATATCTCTTCTCATAGGAAATAAAATCTAGTAAAAATACCGTGTTGTATTCTAATGACATTTCCAGTAAAAAACTATATCTAGTAAAGAACCATATTTTAACCATTTATTTGGCAATTCTTTAGTTTATAAGTTAATTGGTTACCGGAAATTCTGGTTATAAAAATCATAGTTTCTATTGCATTTAATATCATTTAGTAAAAAATACAGAGCTGAAAATTAAGTTTAGCGAAAGAAATGGTTTTTATACCATGCTGTAAGTTATCCTGATGAAATAATCAAATTGTACCACTTTTACGAAATGTTATCTCATATTATAAAGCGAAATTTAATTTTTATTTTACCGAAAGCATTATCAAATAATTGTCAAGCTTTTTTTTGTCTTCCCATAGATCTAGCAACGGTACATTTTACAATATTCCGGTAGTTTTGGCCTTACATTTTTCTCCGTGCTCTTAAATAATTAGTTGATTAAACAAATTCTAACTTATTCATTTGTATTCTTAAACTAATATATACAAAGTTTCATAATGGTCTTTTTTTGAAATTTTATGCACGAAATGAATAATTTTCAATAAATCGACACTTTATTCTTTTCATTTAAAATTTATCATAGTTGAAGTGTTTAACACGTCAGAGTATAGTTCAAAAATTATGTTTATATTTTTTTAGAAAACAAACGGAAGGGTTAAATATATGAATTAACAAAAATAAAAACGAGCATTATAACTCAATCGAGAAGTCAAGTTACAGTAATGTAATATAAATGCAAAACTTAAACTGCACACAGATGTTGTATTGCTTTTAATGAGCAACAAGAATGATACCGAAACAATAGCTGTAACAATATGAATAGTACTCGAAATATCACAAGATTTTTTTTTAAAGTTTCTCGTCATTGATGGTAAAGTTCGAAACAGTTTTATAACCCTAATTATCTAAGATCAATCTTTCGTTAAATCAATCTATGAGTCATCTAAATCATAATTTAAGTCATCTTTATGACAGTTATGCTTAAATTTATCAAATGCCATGGTAATTCCACAGATTCTATGCCACATTTGACTCATGAAACTGACTCATGAATGTATTAGTAAAAAAACATTCTTTAAATAAATTTTTATGCCAAAAATATCTCAGTTCCAAATATAAATTAGGACAATTAGTTTATTCATACTAAATTTAAAAAAAAAATAAAAATGAGATTATAAAGTTATAGTTATTAGCTTTTTAAATGACAGTTATTTAATTTTTATTTAAAATTTTAAATGTAATTTAAATTAGTTATTTACAGATAGAAACTTAACTTACTTTAGGATACCGCAAGGACTTAAGTTTGGCAATAACATTGCTGCTATCGTTGTGGCTTCCATACCAATTATAGTAGTAAATGCCAGTACTAGTGTCATTAAAAGTGGCAAAACATAAAAAGTTTCCATCTGGAGACCACCAAAGAGCTTGACTTGATTTCAATATTTCTTCTAAAATAAATAAGGAAAATACTATAAGCTTAAAAAAATGCTTTTAATGCTTATTAGGAGATTTTATGGAGAGAAAAAAAAATTAATGTTTCAAACTCTGTGCACTTTAAGTGAACACATAATAACAAGTAATGTTTAGAGAAAAACCCTAAACAATTATCAGATTTTTTTACTTTACATACAACCAAACCAAAACACGAAACCAAACAAAAAACCAAACCAAAGACACATACAACCAAAATAATGACTAGCGTACAATCTGTGAATTTATTATGAGCTGTTTATCAAAAATCCTAATATCAAGCTTTTTTTATGTTGGAAAGTTCGTAAACTGTAATGCTGCGTGACTGAATATATTTATTGCATGCAAATGAAGTATAATTTGTATAAAAATAAATCACTGATATAATAAAAAAAGGCGTATAACAAAAAATCGCGTGATAATAAATATTGCAATTTTGTATATTAATAAATTACATTATTTATAATTAGGTGAAGTAATAATCAACAAAAGTAAAGAATCAAAAGTATATAAAAGATAATGATAAAAAAAAGGTATTGAGATCGACTCTACGAAATCATGCACCAATCTTTTTTTTATTTATTTATTACTATCTGAGTACCCGTTCTTGGTACTGGGTGAAAAAAAGTAAACAAAATCAAAATATAGTACTGAACGACACTATGAAATCATGCACAAAATGAATACGCATACCATAATGAATAAAGCTAAAATAATTAAATTTTTTTATTTATTACTAGCCACTTCCAACTACCAACTACCTTTTTAAATTAGTAGAATTTCAAGGATTTCGAGATTTAACTTCATTCAGTAGAAAATCAAGGCATGTGCATACTCATATTTCTCACGTGAGAAGTGGATTTAATTCCTACATGTCCGCATGGCATCGTGAGTATTGTTGTGGATTTGTTACTAAAATGTTCAGTACAAAATATACAAATGTTAAAAATAAAAATGCGATTATCGCAATCATACATTTGATGGAAAATAAATCAAATTAGCAGCTTTGCCAAATACAAGATACGCAATTATTTGCTATTATTAATTTAGCGAGCCAATGAATTTCATTTTTAAGGGTATAACGTCAGAATGAAAAGAACTTTAACTGTCATAAATTTCTTTAAGTTAAGAGAACACACATATCTAAAAAAATAAACAATAAATTTTAAAGCAAGAAAATAAACTTTAAAAAAATAATTTAGCTTAATGGTGCAGTTCAGGATTTAAAAGACTGTATTAGCATCACGTTAAAATTTAAAATTAGTCTTTTCATTTATTTGACACGTTTCATTGGTAATTGAAAGGGACTTTAGCTTGCCAACCTGCCTTATTTACAATTTTAAGAAATGAAGAAACAAGTTTGGTTATGAAAACTTTTCTTGATCGTGAAATTCAGCAGTTCATACTTTACTAATCCAATACGAGCACTCAAACATATAACTTTTGTTCGATCGGGGCATCTATACGCTGTTTTGTACCCAACCTCTTATCAGAAATACGAACCATGTATTGGCGACTGTTTCTTCGACTTGTCTCAACTTGACATCCTTAACTAATGTGCGCAAATTTTAATATCAAGATACACTGTAAAAAATATAATGATATGTTCCCATTTAATTTAATTTCAACATTGGTCTCAATACTTTTCTTACCCATATAAAATTAACATACGTTCATAATATTTGTCGCTATATTCGTAATTATCGCTTCGTTAAATAATAATTATCGCTTCAATACTTATTGCTTCTTATAATAATCACGATATTGTCATATTTGATACACCTATGCTTTTCAATGGTAGCGCGTGACATGTGTAAGGCGGCTAGTTTACGAGTAATGGTCATTTATTTTGTCCATTAATTATGCTTTTTCAATACAAAGGTTACTTTTTTTATTTCAATTTGTACCTATTACAAAAATTAATTTAATGTGATTCTTGAAAAAGTAATGACACTAATATTTTATAACAATTTTGGAGAACTAATACCGGCATTTATTTTGAAAATGCGAAGTCAACAAACTACTAATGATTCCAGTTGGTGCTTTATAAAGTATGTTATTAGATACCAATGGTATTGCCATTATAGATTCTGTTGTAATGAGATCTTATTATGCCTACTAATATAAATACTTTGTGTAATAGTTTTTTTACTGCACTTCGAGAGGGTTAAGTACTCTAATGTAACCACACTACACGTTTATGCCACCTAATACTTAACCTTTATTTATTTTATTTATTTTTCTTAATTGTTGTTCATTCTGGTGCGGCATCATAATATTAAACTTATCATATTATGAGTTATGTTTTACTGACTTAACTATATAAATATACATATAATATCTTTTAACATGTGATATTCAGAATTTAGCACAACTCTCCCGTGGCTTAAAAAATTAATATAAATTTATTTCATTAGTTTGTGTTGAGTTTCACTTATTTAGGTTGATGGAGACATTCTTTAAAAGCGTAAGTATAAATTCAAGAAACTTGTAGTTTCATGCACCTAAAAATGCAAAATCGGTGACATCTTGTCTATACGTTGCTAAAATATTAACGTTGATTTGTTAATGAGTACCTTACTTATCAAACGTATGATAAGTAAGTCATAAAAATAAAATTTTTGATTTATTAGACTGAAAACAAGAGAACAACACATATTATAAGACATTTATCAAATCCTATTGAACACTTTTTTGGAATGTAGTGCAAGATTCGGTAGTCTGAAAAAGTTTTAAAGTATACAGTTAGGTTGGCCGTCTTCTTGAACTTATGTACATCATAATTGAAATGGATTGAATGGAATAGTTTCTGAGAAATCAAATTTCTGAGAAATCAAGAACAATTCAACCGAACTTGCTTAAATTTTGTAGTTTGCCATTTAAAAAGCTGTAAAAATTTATATACCTTACGATTAAATATTTTTTCGACTATTATTAAATAAAATAATAAAAAATAAATATTTACTAAAAGTTATATTTTGTTGGAAATTATCATTGGCTAAACGAACTTAATAAATGTGTGCAATAATTTTTCGATCGATTTGCCTTGTGAAATATGTAATTTAAGAAAATTAATATTAAGGGGACCTAAGTGCAACTTGATATTATCAAAATTATTTTCCTTTCTCAATGGCAGTTTTTTTAATAAATATTTTCAATGAAAATCAAAGAAATAATATTAAACATCATAAAATAAATTTACTAAAATTTATATTTGCATTTGAGAAATGACCGACATTACAGAAATTTGAAAATGCTTTAAACAGTTCTGGAAAACGATGGAGTTTTATTTTTTAAAGAATATGGTCTGATGGTATATGGTATGGGTACTGCAGTATCCTCACTACTGAGTCAAACTCCCAAACAACAACTGCTCCCTGACGCAGTTGTGAAATGAGACTATGATACTTCAACCTCTCTAACCGAACTTTGAACTGAAGTGAACTGTAGCTTTGTTAAGTTAAAAACATTCACGCACAAGTTTGTTCACGAGATGTTGTTCATCTGAAAAACATATTTTTCTCACTCGCAATCGTCGGCGAGATATGCTTTTTTATTTTATGTATTATTTAATTTTAATTACATTAAAATGTAATATTGGGGATTAATTATTATTTCATGCCTGCTGCATAGAAGACAGGATTGGACTTCGTGATCGGGTCTAAACCTGTAGTACCATGGTATAATAATATTCAATACTCATGGTAAAATAATATTCATTGTTCATTCTGTAATTAGAAGAACACATCATACTTATAAACAATAAGATTTGGTTTAAATATTATAAGATGATGATATGAGAGTATAAGATTTGATTTAAATACTAACCTTCATACAAATAGTCGGGAATCCCATTATATACAACTTCTTCAATGCCACTATTTGTAACTATATGATGTGTGCCATTTACTTTTGAAATGTAGAAAATATTGTTTCTGTATACGTAAGCCTGAAATATAAATAAATGGTATTTTATTTATATAAAGTAATTTACATAAATGCATCTTAGTTGAAGAAATGGATTATTACTTAAATGACAAACATGTGTAGTGGGCAGAAAAAAAATGAACCACCCTGAATAACTTTTGATCTAATGATAGGAGTCTCACGTTCCAGGCCTCCATCTTAATGGTTCAAGGTGGTGACCTTAAATAAGCTAATTAATTATCGAAGACGATATTTTACATTATAAATCAGACACAACAACGTACTATCTCTGAATAAACATATCTATCTTTCGACGGTTTCGGATTTCTGACCCCCAAAATATAGGGGGTGCAATCTGGGATGTATAGTAATAATAGTTTTTGGTCAGGAGAGCGATTCAAATTGATGACCTACTAATGTTAATTTTATATTTTGCGTATTTCGATTAATCTCAGAAACTTTTCAAGCGAATTAAAAAAAAAATTCTTACAATTATAAAGATAACATATCCCCCAAAAATTGTTTTCTGTGAAAAATAAATTTTAGGAAATAATTATTATTTCTTATTATTTTGTTTAAACGAAGTTGAAAAAAAATTGTAAAATATACCCATTTTAAATTCTTCTAAGGAACCTAATTTTAAATTACAAAATACAAAATTTTAGCGAAACCGGTAGAAAATTTCCTGGAATTTGGAATATGTAATTTTTTTTTTAAAATTTAATTTCTCAGGAACTATTCAACAGATTTCAAACTGCCAAAACTTTCTATTTTGCCATGTAAAATTATGTAAAAAATTGTGTCCCTCACAATTCAACATTTCTTCGAACTTACGTGAATAAAATAATAAAAAATAATAAATATTTAATAAAATTAATTTTTTGCATGGAGTTATCTTTGGGTAATCGAATTTTATATTTGTGTGAAAAACATTTTTTCAATTTGCTAGAAAATTTCTACGCAAGATGTAAAATTACGTATTAAAGTGTATACGCAAGATGTAAAATTACGTATTAAAGTGTATACGCAAGATGTAAAATTAACGTTAAGGGGTCCAAACTTTGGACCGATCTCCTGACCAAATTATAGGGACCTTATTTTCCAGATTGCTGATATTGGGGGGCCAGAAATCCAAATCCGTTGAATATGTTTATTCCAAGAAAGTACATTTTTTGTGCCTTATTTCGTAATTTAAAATATCGTCTGCATGTATTAATTAGTATATTTGAGATCACCCCCTTGAACCATTAAGAATGAGTCCTAGAACGTGAATATCCTCTCATTATATTATTCAGGTTGGTCATTTTTTTTTGGTGCACTGTCCACTACTGCCAGAATTCTTGTTGAGAGTTTAGATTGATATTTAATCGGAAGGTGATAATAAAACATTTAGATTTAATTACAGATAATAAATTTACTTGCTAAATAATAACTTGTTAAGAAACTATCAATTAATATATTCATGCTACAGCCGGTTGCGGGCCAAGGGGGAGGGGCGGGGATTTGAAGTTTAAAGCTTTTGATTTCATGACTATCAATGGGATTGTGATCAATGTTACGTAGAAGTCAATTTTGCTTCTCTGACAAGTTGTTACTACTGAGTTGAAGATGTATGCAGAGTGCGTCCCAGTGAGAGTTTAGTACTTTGGCACTGTGCAACTATTCTAGAAGAATAGTGAAATATTATAAGATTAATAGGACTAAATAACTGTGGTTTTGTAAGATATTTTAGGTGGTTTTGTGAAAAACTAAATGATATTTTTTAAAAAGTTTTTTTAGCTAAACAGTATTTTTTCATTCTTTCGTATATACTCTGTAAATAAATTTTAACATCACTATTAATAATGTCTCATTTAGAAGGAATCTAATTTAGGCAAGGAAATTTGTAGCACTAATACTCGAAAGCTATTTTTTAATCAATCAAAATTATTTTAATTCTTAATCTGTTTGATAGTGTTCTTAAATATTTGCTGACTAATATTTTTTATGTTTTTTTTTTCCTTTTAAAACTTTATAGAGAAAACCAAAATAAATCTCAAAAAAATTTCAACTATTTGATTACAAAAAAGCGTCATTGTTTTATTAATGAGCAAGTTTATATATATTAGTTTTGCATGCATTATACATGATTATTTTTAAAAAATTTAGATTTTTTTTTTAAGTGTTCAGTCGTCCTTTTAACGTCTACAAAATTAAAATATGTATTTTCCTTAAAATCGTCGAATATATTAGAGAAATTATAAGTTATCTTTACGTATAGTCAGCTTATAAGTAAATGTAAATCTTTTTTTGCAATAGTCGAAGCTTTTGAGTAGAACCCTCCTTACAAATCAATTATAACAACGAAATTTTGTTTGCTGTCCCATAGACGCCTTTTTACTTTAACATTAGAAGGCCCGTACTATGCCGTTTATTCCAATCTAAGAACTGAAATTTAGCAATTTGATTTATATTAAGTTTCAATTAAATTTTTATACTATTCCTCATGCTAGTGGATATTAAATTTGAAACATCTTAAATTCCTTTTGAAAGAAAGAAAAGTGAAACGAAACCTTTAATATATGCTTCAAATACTCATGCTCAAAGGTCAAAAAGTTTATGAAATAGACGTTATTTAAAATTGGAATTTATTAGTGTATATAGCAACGCCATGTGGAAGTCAGCATGAAGTCCGGAATGCATTCATTAGTTTAAAGAGAGGCATTCGCAATGTATATCAATTTATTTTCGTAAGGAATGATGCTCGGAGCTTAATTTCAATTCACTCTTTTTCTAATATGTTATCTCCCTTGGGTTTTTATTTATTTATTTATATATTTTTTTCTTATTTTCGAGTTAAAGCTTGTGGTTTTCGCAGTCATCGTTTTAGACCATTTTATACTTAGACTTACGTCTTTTATTGAAAATGGCTGACCGAACTAATATATATTAGTTTTAATGAGTTGTGTCCCCAACAGTTAAATGATAGTTTTACGCATATAGTGACATTAAAAAAATAAAGTCTGTTGTTAATATGCTGAAAAAAGAAAATGAGATCAAAACTACCAGAATATTGCGAAATTTATAAAGTTTTTTGTTTGCGAAGTTTCTTTCTTATATGAGAACACCAAAAATAACGTTAATTTTTACTGAACCAATTTGGTAATTACTTTTGGTAAAATTGCTTATAAATTTATAATTTTTTTTTCTTGCTAATTGGTAATAAATACAAAGAAATTGTATTGAGATACCTAGGACAAAGGCATAAAAACCATTTATTTGGTTGAATTTACTTCATTCAGCTTTATATTTTCACTAAATGTGAGGAAATAAGAACTATAGTTTTAAAAACCAGAAATTCAAGCAAGCTTTTACCAAACATACGAAAAAATTGAAATGAATGGTTTAAATACAATATATTTTAGTTTTGTTACCAGAATTGTGCGTTATTTCACTAGAAATGATATTTTTTCCCCCGTGCATTATTTATTTTGTTCGTAACCTAATTCTTAATTTACATATAATTCACAATTCACTTTGAAGTAAAAGATGCGAAAAATAAAATATGAAAAATAAAACCTTAGGTTTTTTATTACTATCAAAATTTTGTATTATTTTGAAATTTATTTTTTTCCAATTTTTTTTATGCATATACTGTAAAAACCGCAGTGTAATTTCTTATTGAATATCGTTTCGAACAACTCTAAAAACTGTGTGAAAGAGCACGTTTTACCACGAAAGTACCAAATCGAGCTTTTTTGTGTAATTTAAAGTGAGTATGAAAGCTTAAAACACCGAAAGTGCTATATGTTTACATCAAGATCAAGCGCCTTAATTCATACGTTAGATATTTTTGCTCCTATGTGGGTGCGTTTTGAATTATTTGAATTGATAACGAGCAGACAAGTGTTTATGGTCATCTTCAAAGATCCTTTTCACCCACAAAAATAAAGTCGGCTGTTAAAAAAATGAATATTGTTTTCCGCAGTGTAAAAAGGATATTTATTGCTTCTTATTTATATAGTATCATAAAAAAACATTTTTACTCTTTCTTATACGTATTATATGTTATTGTATTTACAATTTTAATGTTACTGAATAACAAACACGGTGGTTAGTGACCACTACTTTATACCAAGTAATGTTAATGAATATTCCTGGTGTTTTACTACACCAAAAACTATCATTTGATTTTGATTCAGTCTGACACTTAGTGGTGTAAAGTTGTTGCCACCGTTTTTGTTGTTCAGTTATATTAAAAGTTTTTCCGTGTACTTAAATAAACATTTAAATATTAAAGTTACTCTAATATCTGATGCCGAGAAATAAGCTTTTAATAAGATTAAAAGTACTTAATAATTTTCACTTAAACTGTCTAGCTTGTCAAAAAAGCTTTAAGGCACTTTTTTTTGTTACCTTATGTTTGGAAAATATAATTCATTAGTTTTGATGAAACAGAAAAAAAATTAATGCGAATAACATTTCGACTTAATTTCCTAGTCAGATGAGTGGAAAAAATATTCTGCACAAACTATATTATTATTTTTAAGCGCGTCAATTATTAGTATTTCTAAAAAAATTGAAACGTCAATTTTAATTTATAAAATAACAATTTTAATGTAAAATATCGTTTTAGAAGCAATTTTTTTTATTAGGAGAAAATAAAATCCAATATTCATTTATCTACTCTTCTATTTTTTTATTTTATTTTGATAGAAAGGGCAAGAAATGCTATGTATTAGTCTACTTAGTAAAGCACGAATCTAAAATTAATGCAAAAACTAAAAATTAAATTTATTTTGTCATGTTAATTGCCATTTTAATTAATCACAGTTTAGACACAGAATTTGTTTTAGCCTAAAATACGAATAAATATTAAAATTTATTTGATACATTTCGTAATATTGAATCGAGTGTATGATTTAAATAATTTAATATTTATTCCTTATTTCTTGAATTCCTGGCCAATCTATTTAATAAAATTATTTATTCCTAATGTAAAGTACTAAAAAATTAGCAATACTTAAATTGATGTAGTCTATA